GGGAGGTCTTATTTTCAGGGATGCCTTATATTTCAGCGAGAGGCAAAACTGTAAGCAGGCTTTGTTTTCGGGGGATGTCTTACTTTCGGGGAGACAGGGTACCTGTATTAGATTCACTTCTAAGACAGAAGGGAGACTCTTAAAAGTAAATAAAACAAACTCACAGTGATGCGTACTCACAGTGATCCCAAAGGACAAGGTAGAACGGCAACTGTGAGTTTGCAAGATGAATCCTTTATGTCAGGAGCTGTTGTCTGTGTGATGCTGGTGGTTTCAAATATTCGCGGCCCACCATGTACCTTTTAAAACCAAAAGGAAACGCACTGCCATCAAGTTAGCACTGACTCATAGAGACCCTATAGGACAGGGTAGAACTGACCCGCAGTGTTCTGGAACCTGTTAACTCTACGGGAATAGAAAGTCCTGTCTTTCTCCCGCTGAGCGCGCACTGGTGGTTTAAACTGCGGACCTGGAGGATCTTAGGTATGCGTATGAAATCAAAGACCTCACAAGTAAATCTAGTCTGGGAAATTACAAGAGTGGTTATTGTACTCAAATCTGGTTGTTTACACCATCAATTTCATGTGAAACCTCAATTAAACACATTTAAAAAACCTTTTTTGGATGAAGGATATGAGATCAAGCTACATGATTTTGATGCTCAAAGTATGAAAAAGCAACCCCCAGTGGCAGAGTAGAAGTACCGACACAGGTTTCCCAAACCGTCATCTATCTAGGCACAGACTTCCAGGTCCCTCGGGTGTTCAAACCCCGACATCGTATCAAAATGAAATATAATATTAAAATACAGTCCCCTTGTCTATCATTAAAATTTCAATATTTTAATGCGATGTTTGATTGTGACAGAACCAAATTACCTTTGCCACCCCAAAGAAGGTAACTCTTATACATATAATCTATGGCTGCTTCATTTAAAATGTAGGAAGTGTAAATGCTATTTATTTCTTCTTTCCTTTCTTAATTCATTTATTTGCATTTATATTAAAGTAAGAGTCTCTAAAATGAAGTATATTTGAAATATTCACCAAGATTTTTGTAATCAGTGGAGTAAAACTGCTGGTATTTGAAAAAATCTGCTATACCACGCCAAAGTGCGTTTGAAAAAGGTGCTGGCTCAACCTGATCCATTCCTTCTCTTCCGTTTGCACAATGCAGCAACTTTCCTATCAGACTGTCACCACAATCTTACATATTCGGACTAGCTTTGCCGAGTTTGCAGTGACAACAATGATAATACCCATTGTAAAAAGAAAATGCAGGAATAGCAATAGTTGAATCCTCGCTTGTTCCTTATACCCAGGATAATCTATATCCAGTTAATAATTTAGTTCTAATCAGCGCCTTATCTTCTGAAAAGGAGAGTCAGTTTTGAATCACAAGGCAACTGACCTTGAAGGTTTAATATATGCAGATTTCTTATACAGCCTCTAATTCTTACTGAGAGTGTTTTCTAAGTTATATTTATAACTCACTTGTGCAATTCCCCTTGTGTCTATCCTAGCAGTACCTGATTGACATAGGACCACACTTTCACTCTTCTTTCTTTGGGATCTTAGACTTATTTATACAACTAGTTCTAACTCAGGTCTGGTATTTGTGAAAGGGAAGTAAAATAAATTTGACTATTTGAGGTAAATAATACTAAAAAAAGTAGTATCCTTTAACACTAACATAGTTACTTCTCAAGGTGTTTGGGTATGAATTTATTTTATGCAGAATTTACTATAAAGTGGTATTTCTAGTAGTGGTATGAGTTATGAGTTATTTTCATTGATCAGAAGAAAGATATGGATCAGATATGGAACTAAAATAAGAGTTAAAATACTATGAATTGTGAAATTGACTCCGGAATAAGAACCTTCTCTCAAGAGAGTTATAAAAATCTGTGGGTGTTCATTTTAACTTGGAAGCAATGCTTAGTATTAATAGTAATAAGACTAGACTTTCTAAATGTTGGGAATCATTTTGACTTTAAAACCCTAATAAGTTAATGTGATCACCTGCTCCATCAAAGAACATGGAAAAATGTTTTTATTTATTTAAAAGTGATCCATAACATAATCCTTCCTTTAGGAAGAAACTTAAGCCTAGAATCCCTTGATTGTAGCCAACTTCGAACTTTGCTTGCATGTTAGTGATAGTGACTTGCTTTGAAGATTAAACTGCCTATTTTTATTTGTTTTCATTTCTTGTTTGCTTGGTTTTGCTCATTAAAAGTAGGGAAGAAGAACACCCAAGGAAAGAAATTATAATCAGGACAGTGAGGACAAAGCGATAGTATTGTTTTGTTTTTTTTTTTTCGTTTTGTTAATAGAGAACTTTGGAGAAATGAAAGATGGCTGTCCTTTGCAGTAATAAGTCATTGTGCTTAGTCACATTAGACGTCTCCACTTAATGTCGTCCTGTTTACACTGGAAAAGAATGCACTGGGTTGTGACTTTTCTTCATCGTTTTCAATGATGACAACTGTGTAATTTTCCAAGTTGGAGAAGGTAGAAGATGGAAACAAAAGAAACTGTGTATTACGCTCGTTAAAAATTGTCACAGAAGAATAATTTTAGAGAACAAATTTTATCAACTGAGCTTTCAAATAGAATGTCTTGATATTGGTATTAGTAGTATACGTTACTTTTGTAAAAATAACCTTGATTTTTATTAGCCTGTGTTCTATTTTAAATCATGCTATGCAGGAAAGATTAAGTCAAACATAAAGTATACAACAAGTGAACAGGCTTAATAGTCTAACAGATAAGATAGAAGTATTTCTATTATCTTGGGAAGTCAACAGTGAATTGAGTTGTGTTCTTTAAATACTGTGCTATTTTCATCCTTTTGTGTTCTTCTAAAATCAAATATAATTATATTTTATGTGCCATTTTAGAGAATCATTGCTCTGAGAGAAATAGTTTTCAAGCTTATTAGTCGTGCTATTTGAATTGACCTTTCTTTACAAATACTGTTGCCTCTGACTAGGACTGAGAGAGTACATATCTCAGCTGACTAAACAAGATCGTTCTAAAGAACAGTAACATGTTACTCAGCTGATGAAGCAAATACTGCATACCGAACTCTGCAGAGACACAGCCTCAGTAAACCCTGGTCCCTGACATATACTTACATTTTACATACAGATCAAGTTTACGTATTCCTACTTGACAAAGTGTGTGCTGTGGTTTATAAGGTATTGCTTTACTTGTTAGTACATACGCTTGATGTTTTCTTCATGAGAATTTCAGAAGAAAATTTTTAAGTTATTATAAATTTATGGTAAGTGTAAGGTTTGTGATTTAAATATCATTTTTTAAGTTTTTTTTTTTTTCGGTTGTTCTGAATTTTATTTTTTTTTTTTTTTAAACCCTTTACTTTTTTTTCTTTTAAAATAAATGATTTTATTGGGGGCTCTTAACATATATTATAAAAACCATACATCCGTTTTCTCAAGTGAGCTGAAATAGCTCAGTTGGGAGAGTGTTAGACTGGCGTTCTAACCATGAACTTCTTAATTTTTGCAGCATCCATGACTTTATCCAGAAGAAATTCTTGATGGAACAGTCATGAAAGGCTGCCTGAGTGGTATTTATCTGTCTCTAATTAATAAAGATCATACCAGATTCATAGATCTAAAGTTTATACAATCAATTTGTGTAATTTCATTTTATTTATTTGTGCCATGGGTTAATTTTCAGAAATTAAACTTCCAAAATTGTGAAAACATCATTATTATTCTTGAATTTCAAAACTCAGGTGATACTCTTCCTCATCTTCTATTTCTTTCCTTTCCTCCTCCTCCTTCCTTCTCCCCTCTACACATAAAACTTATTGATGTTCCATTGTTCCATCTTACAGCACCTCTTATGGCAGAGTAGACCCACTCCATTGGATGCCTGAGCAAACAGGCTCATCCTCCTCCCGTGAGGTGGCTGGTAGGTGTGATCTTGCAGTTAGCGGTCCAACCACTGACCCCTTGCCGACCAGATCTGCTCTCTTCATTCTAGTTAAATAAATACCTGGGTTGAGGGAAAAAAAGGATTTGATGGGAATAAAATATAAATTAGTTTACAAATCCAATATATCTCAAGTTAAAATCAAGAAACTTCAACTTCTATTTAGCCAACTCCTTGGATTCACAGAGAGGACTCCATGTCCACCATGAGCCAGACCTCAGAGAAACCTACAAAAGCAGGAAAATGGGCAAGGCAGAAATCTATCAGCAAAGGA